CAATCTCCCTCGGCCTGGGGCTCCATGCAAGATCTCACCTCGTGGAGTTGCAATGATCATGAGAACGGTGAGGAATCAGCCCAGAACTACACGGGAGGATCTTGTCAATGATCTCAAGGCAGCTGGGACCATAGTCACCAAGAAAACAATTGTTAACACACTACGCCGTGAAGGACTGAAATCCCCCTGAGGTCCCCCTGCTCAAGAAAGAACATATACAGGCCTGTCTGAAGTTTGCCAATGAATTTCTGAATGATTCAGAGGACAACTGGGTGAAAGTGTTGTGGTCAGATGAGACCAAAATGGAGCTCTTTGGCATCAACTCAACTCGCTGTGTTTGGAGGAGGAGGAATGCTGCCTATGACCCCAAGAACACCATCCCCACCGTCAAACATGGAGGTGGAAACATTATGCTTTGGGGGTGTTTTTCTGCTTAGGGGACAGGACAACTTCACCGCATCAAAGGGATGATGGACAGGGCCATGTACCGTCAAATCTTGGGTGAGAACCTCCTTCCCTCAGCCAGGGCATTGAAAATGGGTCGTGGATGGGTATTCCAGCACGACAATGACCCAAAACACATGGCCAAGGCAACAAAGGAGTGGCTAAAGAAGAAGCACATTAAGGTCCTGGAGTGGCATAGCCAGTCTCCAGACCTTAATCCCATAGAAAATCTGTGGAGGGAGCTGAAGGTCGAGTTGCCAAACGTCAGCCTGGAAACCTTAATGACTTGGAGAAGATCTGCAAAGAGGAGTGGGACCAAATCCCTCCTGAGATGTGTGCAAACCTGGTGGCCAACTAAAAGAAACGTCTGACCTCTGTGATTGCCAACAAGGGTTTTGCCACCAAGTACTATGTCATGTTTTGCAAAGGGGTCAATTACTTATTTCCCTCATTTAAAATGCAAATCAATTTATACCATTTTTGACATGCGGTTTTCTGGATTTTTTTGTTCTGTCTCTCACTGTTCAAATAAACCTACCATTAAAATTATAGACTGATCATGTCTTTGTCAGTGGGCAAACGTACAAAATCAGCAGGGGATCAAATACTTAATTCCCTCACTGTATGTGTGTGTGTATATGTATGTATGTATGTATGTATGTATGTATATATACACACACACACACACACACACACACACACACAGTGGGGAAAAAAGTATTTAGTCAGCCACCAATTGTGCAAGTTCTCCCACTTAAAAAGATGAGAGAGGCCTGTAATTTTCATCATAGGTACACGTCAACTATGACAGACAAAATGAGAGAGAAAAATCCAGAAAATCACATTGTAGGATTTTTTATGAATTTATTTGCAAATTATGGTGGAAAATAAGTATTTGGTCAATAACAAAAGTTTATCAATACTTTGTTATATACCCTTTGTTGGCAATGACACAGGTCAAATGTTTTCTGTAAGTCTTCACAATGTTTTCACACACTGTTGCTGGTATTTTGGCCCATTCCTCCATGCAGATCTCCTCTAGAGCAGTGATGTTTTGGGGCTGTCGCTGGGCAACACGGACTTTCAACTCCATCCAAAGATTTTCTATGGGGTTGAGATCTGGAGACTGGCTAGGCCACTCCAGGACCTTGAAATGCTTCTTACGATGCCACTCCTTCATTGCCCGGGCGGTGTGTTTGGGATCATTGTCATGCTGAAAGACCCAGCCACGTTTCATCTTCAATGCCCTTGCTGATGGAAGGAGGTTTTTACTCATAATCTCACGATACATGGCCCCATTCATTCTTTCCTTTACACGGATCAGTCGTCCTGGTCCCTTTGCAGAAAAACAACCCCAAAGCATGATGTTTCCACCCCCATTCTTCACAGTAGGTATGGTGTTGTTTGGATGCAACTCAGCATTCTTTGTCCTCCAATTTGTCCTCCATTCTTTGTCTTTTATACTGATAACAAGTTCAAACAGGTGCCATTAATACAGGTAACGAGTGGAGGACAGAGGAGCCTCTTAAAGAAGAAGTTACAGGTCTGTGAGAGCCAGAAATCTTGCTTGTTTGTAGGTGACCAAATACTTATTTTCCACCATAATTTGCAAATAAATTCATTAAAAATCCTACAATGTGATTTTCTGGATTTTTTTTCCTTAATTTGTCTGTCATAGTTGACGTGTACCTATGATGAAAATTACAGGCCTCATCTTTTTAAGTGGGAGAACTTGCACAATTGGTGGCTGACTAAATATTTATTTCCCCCACTGAATGAATGAAATAATCTTATTAAATACTTTTTTCTTTACATAGTTGAATGTGCTGACAACAAAATCACGCAAAAATTATCAATGGAAATCAAATTGATCAACCCATGGACGTCTGGATTTGGAGTCTCCCTCAAAATTAAAGTGGAAAACCACACTACAGGCTGATCCAACTTTGATGTAATGTCCTTAAAACAAGTCAAAATGAGGCTCAGTAGTGTGTGTGGCCTCCACGTGCATGTATGACCTCCCTACAACGCCTGGGCATGCTCCTGATGAGGTGGCAGATGGTCTCCTGAGGGATCTCCTCCCAGACCTGGACTAAAGCATCCGCCAACTCCTGGACAGTCTGTGGTGCAACGTGGCGTTGGTGGATGAAGCGAGACATGATGTCCCAGATGTGCTCAATTGGATTCAGGTCTGGGGAACGGGCGGGCCAGTCCATAGCATCAATGCCTTCCTCTTGCAGGAACACTCCAGCCACATGAGGTCTAGCATTGTCTTGCATTAGGAGGAACCCAGGGCCAACCGCACCAGCATATGGTCTCACAAGGGGTCTGAGGATCTCATCTCGGTACCTAATGGCAGTCAGGCTACCTCTGGCGAGCACATGGAGGGCTGTGCGGCTCCCCAAAGAAATGCCACCCCACACCATGACTGACCCACCGCCAAACCGGTCATGCTGGAGGATGTTGCAGGCAGCAGAACGTTCTCCACGGCGTCTCCAGACTCTGTCACATAATATAATAATATAATATGCCATTTAGCAGACGCTTTTATCCAAAGCGACTTACAGTCATGCGTGCATACATATATATATATATATATATATTATTATTTTTTTTTGTACGTGTGGTCCCTGGGGATCGAACCCACTACCTTGGCGTTACAAGCGCCGTGCTCTACCAGCTGAGCTACAGAGGACCACAATGTGAACCTGCTTTCATCTGTGAAGAGCACAGGGCCACAGTGGCGAATTTGCCAATCTTGGTGTTCTCTGGCAAATGCCAAACGTTCTGCACGGTGTTGGGCTGTAAGCACAACCCCCACCTGTGGACGTCGGGCCCTCATAGCACCACTTGTGTGGGTTGTAGACTCCGTCTCATGCTACCACTAGAGTGAAAGCACCGCCAGCATTCAAAAGTGACCAAAACATCAGCCAGGAAGCATAGGAACTGAGAAGTGGTCTGTGGTCACCACCTGCAGGTCACTTGATGTCATCCTACGGTTGTTGAGTGACATTCGAATGAGTTGGCGGTCATCCCGGTCAGTAGAGTCGTTTTCGCCCTCTGCTGGTTTGTAGCTTTGTTGTCCCCAATGTCTGCTGCTTGACCTTGTTCTTATGAACCACCGTCTTTGGAATTGTAAGGATGGAAGCACGCTAGTTGGGGAACTCTGCTTTAGAGGGTCAATCTCATGCTGCACTCTATAATGGCTTTATACAGTTCCCTAGTTCACCATCCACCCCAATCCCCCACCAGCCGCCCCTTGTCTTTCTACAGCGACGTGAGGTTGCTACACTTTCTTTGTCTCCTGCCACAATTACACCAGGAAGTGGCAGTATGAATGGGATCCTATGATGGCCCCTGGGGTTAATAGATGAATGGCTCCCCTTTCACTCCAATCTAACCAGCCCCTGTTACCATGCTTAGACTGATCCTTACTAACAACCAGAACAGACCACACCGCCCAGCCTCAGCTCCAGACTGACCCTCACCAACAACCAGACCAGACCAAACAGTAGTACACACTGATCCTTTGATGCTCTCTCTGGAGGTCATGGCCTAGCTGACTGTGGTACCTGACACAGCGATAGACAGTTGTAGCTAATAGTCCTACAGCAAAGCTATTGCAGGGGGTGTTGAATCTTCTGCTCTCTGTGTTGTAGAAATATATCCAAAGAAGATACTGTAGTTCGATCCTTATTGTGTGATGGTGGACATTGGACAACAGCATAGAATACACTAAATGGGTAATAGGGTGTCATTAAGATGAAGATCCCCTGACCCTGTTTCACTTATTGTAAAAATGAGAAACAGGACAACGGTCTCTCCAGTATTAGCTGTGAATATTGGCCGTCACACAAATACTATAATCAGCTCTTACAGAAATAATCAGGGCCATTAGCTTCCATTTCCTCTGGGCTAGTGTTTCCGGGGGGAGGACATTAAACCGTGCACTTACACACAAAGAGATAAGGGGGGGTGGGGGTCTGTTGCCCTTGGTATTGTATGGAGGGAGGAGATGGCTGGCCGGGGCTTGGTAACTGGGTCTGTGTCCCAAATGGCTCCCTATGTAGTGCACAACTTTTTGTCAAATGTAATGCACTATGTAGGGAATAGGGTTCCATTTGGGATGCACCCTGGGTCTGGTCCTGGCAGCGTTTAGAGCCTGATGGATGAGCAGAGATGATCAGTAATTATACACAAGCTGTGTGGCCTGGCCGGCTGGCTGAGAGGGGGTGGAGGGTTAATGTCTCCATCAACAGCCCCCCCCCCCCCAGGAGGGAGTTCACCTGCTCTGTGACCAACTCCTCCCCCTCTCAAAGTGGCTAGAGCTTGCCAGGAAAGCAACCTCCCTCTATCCCTCTCACTGTTCATGTGTGCCACTGATCTGAGCTCCAGAGATGGTCTGGTGATGATATTACAGGCAATTAAGCCCTTTAGTCACCATTGAAATGTTGATGTAATTTGTGTCCGTACTGCCTGAGCTCGCCAGCAACCTCCCTCTAACGGTGTCACTGTTCTCTCTTCCCCCTCTCTCTCCTGCCCTCCTCTATCCCCAGGTGCTGTGGCTGCTGAGCTTTGATGACAAGAACACCCTGGCGGATGCTGTGGACAAGTACTGCATCGGGGTGCCACCCATCCAGTGGTTGGCATGGATACCACAGCTCCTGACCTGCCTGGTTGGGTCAGAGGGCAAACCCCTGCTCAACCTCATCAGCCAGGTACAGTGGCTTGCAAAATTATTCACCCCCCTTGGCATTTATCCTATTTTGTTGTCTTTGTCTGATTTCTGGGGGGTTTGTATCATTTGATTTACACAACATGCCTACCACTTTGAAGAGGCAAAATATTTTTGATTGTGAAACAAACAAGAAAACAGAAAGAAAAAAAACTGAACTTGAGCGTGCAATTACAGCTGCAATTGTCTTGGGATATGTTTCTATAAACTTGGCACATCAAGCCACTGGGATTTTTGCCCATTCTTCAAGGCAAAACTGCTCCAGCTCCTTCAAGTTGGATGGGTTCCGCTGGTGTACAGCAATCTTTAAGTCATACCACAGATTCTCAATTGGATTGAGGTCTGGGCTTTGACTAGGCCATTCCAAGACATTTAAATGTTTCCCCTTAAACCACTCAAGTATTGCTTTAGCAGTATGCTTAGTGTCATTGTCCTGCTGGAAGGTGAACCTTCAAGAATTTCCCTGTATTTAGCGCCATACATCATTCCTTCAATTTTGACCAGTTTTCCAGCCCCTGCCAATTGGAAAAACATCCCCACAGCATGATGCTGCCACCACCATGCTTCACTGTGGGTATGGTGTTCTCGGGGTGATGAGAGGTGTTGGGTTTGCGCCAGACATAGCGTTGTCCTTGATGGCCAAAAAGCTCAATTTTAGTTTCATCTGACCAGAGTACCTTCTTCCATATGTTTGGGGTGTCTCCCACATGCCTTTTGGCAAACACCCAAACATGTTTGCTTATTTTTTTCTTTAAGCAATGGCTTTTTTCTGGCCACTCTTCCGTAAAGCCCAGCTCTGTGGAGTGTACGGCTTAAAGTGGTGCTATGGACAGATACGCCAATCTCCGCTGTGGAGCTTTGCAACTCCTTCAGGGTTATCTTTGGTCTCTTTGTTGCCTCTCTGATTAATGCCCTCCTTGCCTGGTCTGTGAGTTTTGGTGGACGGCCCTCTCTTGGCAGGTTTGTTGTGGTGCTATATTTTTTTATAACCCAACCCTGATCTGTACTTCTCCACAACTTTGTCCCTGACCTGTTTGGAGAGCTTCTTGGTCTTCATGGTGCCGCTTGCTTGGTGGTGCCCCTTGCTTAGTGGTGTCGCAGACTCTGGTGCCTTTCAGAACGTGTGTGTGTGTGTATATATATACAGTGGGGAGAACAAGTATTTGATACACTGCCGATTCTGCAGGTTTTCCTACTTACAAAGCATGTAGAGGTCTGTAATTTTTATCATAGGTACACTTCAACTGTGAGAGACGGAATCTAAAACAAAAATCTAGAAAATCACATTGTATGATTTTTAAGTAATTAATTAGCATTTTATTGCATGACATAAGTATTTGATACATCACAAAAGCAGAACTTTATATTTGGTACAGAAACCTTTGTTTGCAATTACAGAGATCATACGTTTCCTGTAGGTCTTGACCAGGTTTGCACACACTGCAGCAGGGATTTTGGCCCACTCGTCCATACAGACCTTCTCCAGATCCTTCAGGTTTCAGGGCTGTCGCTGGGCAATACAGACTTTCAGCTCCCTCCAAAGATTTTCTATTGGGTTCAGGTCTGGAGACTGGCTAGGCCACTCCAGGACCTTGAGATGCTTCTTACGGAGCCACTCCTTAGTTGCCCTGGCTGTGTGTTTCGGGTCGTTGTCATGCTGGAAGACCCAGCCACGACCCATCTTCAATGCTCTTACTGAGGGAAGGAGGTTGTTGGTCAAGATCTCGTGATACATGGCCTCATCCATCCTCCCCTCAATACGGTGCAGTCGTCCTGTCCCCTTTGCAGAAAAGCATCCCCAAAGAATGATGTTTCCACCTCCATGCTTCATGGTTGGGATGGTGTTCTTGGGGTAGTACTCATCCTTCTTTTTCCTCCAAACACGGCGAGTGGAGTTTAGACCAAAAAGCTCTGTTTTTGTCTCATCAGACCACATGACCTTCTCCCATTCCAGATGGTCATTGGCAAACTTCAGACGGGCCTGGACATGCGCTGGCTTGAGCAGGGGGACCTTGCGTGCGCTGCAGGATTTTAATCCACGACGGCGTAGTGTTACACTAATGGTTTTCTTTGAGACTGTGGTCCCAGCTCTCTTCAGGTCATTGACCAGGTCCTGCCGTGTAGTTCTGGGCTGATCCCTCACCTTCCTCATGATCATTGATGACCCACGAGGTGAGATCTTGCATGTAGCCCCAGACCGAGGCTGATTGACCATCATCTTGAACTTCTTCCATTTTCTAATAATTGCGCCAACAATTGTTGCCTTCTCACCAAGCTGCTTGCCTATTGTCCTGTAGCCCATCCCAGCCTTGTACAGGTCTACAATTTTATCCCTGATGTCCTTACACAGCTCTCTGGTCTTGGCCATTGTGGAGAGGTTGGAGTCTGTTTGATTGAGTGTGTGGACAGGTGTCTTTTATACAGGTAACGAGTTCAAACAGGTGCAGTTAATACAGATAATGAGTGGAGAACAGGAGGGCTTCTTAAAGAAAAACTAACAGGTCTGTGAGAGCCGGAATTCTTACTGGTTGGTAGGTGATCAAATACTTATGTCATGCAATAAAATGCAAAATAAGTACTTAAAAATCATACAATGTGATTTTCTGGATTTTTGTTTTAGATTCCGTCTCTCACAGTTGAAGTGTACCTATGATAAAAATTACAGACCTCTACATGCTTTGTAAGTAGGAAAACCTGCAAAATCGGCAGTGTATCAAATACTTGTTCTCCCCACTGTATATATACTGAGATCATGTGACACTTAGATTGCACACAGGTGGACTTTATTTAACTAATTATGTGACTTCCGAAGGAATTGGTTGCACCAGATCTTATTTAGGGGCTTCATAGCAAAGGGGGTTAATACATATGCACGCACCACTTTTCCGTATTTTAATTTTTTTTTTTTGAATTTCACTTCACCAATTTGGACTATTTTGTGTATGTCCATTACATGAAATCCAAATTACAGGTTGTAATGCAACAAAATAGGAAAAACGCCAAGGGGCAGAGATCCTATTCAATTAAGTTCTAATATGTGATTCTATGCCAGTACCCACCTCACGTCCATCGAAAAAGCCCATCTGTCTACAGCACTGCCCGTTAAAGTTCTTCAGTAGAAAAAAGGAAGGGAAGCGTTGCTACTCTATAGTAGGCCTTTGTAGCTTTTTGGCAAAGGGGTTAATTGGTTCTAAAAAAGCACCAAGGCACTCTTCTTCATATTTTAATTATATAATAAATGCCATGGTCCTCCTTGTTTTTATTTTATGTTTCTCAACTTTTTTGTACCAGGGACGGACAAGCTAAGGATCTTTCTGTACCACAAGCACTCAGCCCTCCTATCCTCATCTCTCCTAAATGTGATCCCCCCCGTGTGCGTGTGTGTGCATTATTGTGCAGGCACGTCAGCCTAATCGAGATGGATTAACAGCACTCAGTGCCAGAGTGGCCTCTCTCCAGCACTTCATATTTATCAAATTAACCATTCAGATTCCTCTCCTCTCATTGTATTGGCCTTTTTCAATTATTTACAGAAGGAATGAATATTAAGTTCATATCAAACGCGTTCGCAGTGCAGGAACAGAGCTGACAAATAAAGTAAGGGACTAATTTGCTTTCCGTTAATGGAGTATTATTTCTGAGCAATTGAAAGAGATGGGAACTTCAAAGAGTATTTGGCTACGTCAAACACCCCTCATCCACCCGGTAGAGCGGGAAATGGGAGAGAAGAGGGAGAGAAGGGAGAGCGATGGTGAGAGAAAGGTTTAAGGAGAATCTCTCATGTGAAGTCAAGCCCACATCAAGTGCTTAATGGAATAGAAATGTGCCTTGTTTAGTTATTCAATCAGGGTTTCTCAACCTTTTTTTTTGCCAATGCCGCCTTTGCCTATTAAATTAATGGCGAGATATCAAGGAGAGGTTTATGAATGGCTTTTGGGGTTTGGTATTTGGGGAATGAATGGGTGAGGCATTTTATCGCCCTTCTGTCTTCCTCCTCGCCATATGATGAGTGAAGGGTAAAAGGTTGACTGTGTCTGTCTGTAAAAGAGAAAAGCAGGAAAGCACCATTTAATGGATGGGAGCCTTTATCTTAGCGATGCTGAATCATTTAGTGTTGTGGGCGGCGGCCGCACGGCGGGATGTTTTGAAAACGGACAGTGAAATATTAATGAAGGTTAACCCTGAGGGGTAGAGGAGAGATGAATCACAGCGTTAAGTCCTACAGAGAATCGAACACCCCTCCTCCTTACCCCCCCCTCCAAAATATAACATCCTTCATCTCCCATTAAGAGCATGATCTCTCCTTATACTCCTCCTTTCTCTCCTGCTGCCTCATCTTTGATGCCCTGCTAAGCTGCCACTTATATCTCCATCCCTCCACCCCCTCCTTCTCTCCATCCTCCCCTCCATCACCCAGCACAGCCCTCCCTCTGTACTGTTAATGCAAGGCTGAGCCAGGGTTAGAGAGGTGTCTCTTTACGCCTACAGGCTACTCCTCACCCCTCTGTCAGCAGGGTAGGGGAACAGGGGTGTAGGGTGTCTGTCTAATGGGGCCAGAGAGGAGCTGTGGTCTGGGCTCAACCACCTTGTTGTCTCTGTCTCTCTGTCATCAAGGCCTCACTGTCACTGTGCATAACTCCTGTGTTTCCAGTAGAGTTGATCTCCCTTCTATCTGCCTCATAGTGAGAGGTGCTGAGCTCACACCTATGGCTGTCTATCTGTCACCCTCTTACATCCATCCTGTATTCCCTGGAGTACTTGTTGTGCCAAATCGTGTTCGGTTTTCTGAGGAGTCTTGATGACGTCTGTAGAAATGTAGATTATGGAGTGTATAGTTAGTTTGCGGAAAAATGTAATGACACTGAACTTCGGTCAGTCTCTGGCAGTGTAGGCCAAGGCAACCCTCTAAATTTAGCCACAGATCTGTTGGAACCTGAAATACCCTCCAGGGTTTCATATCATAACTCCATCTCCATTACACATTACAGAGCTGCTTGCAGGGTATCAATGTTTGATATTCTTTGGGATTCTCTGCAGCGTACACTCCTCTCCTCTGTGCAGTGTGATTCCTGAGGGTAGCTTCTTCTTTGAATGGTAGTCTGACTGTGACCCCCCCTCTCTGTCTTATCTGCTAGGTGGGACGAGTGTACCCACAGGCAGTCTACTTCCCCATCCGCACCCTCTACCTGACGCTCAAGATAGAGCAGAGGGAACGCTACAAGAGCGGTAAGTCATGTGTGCGTGCGGTTTTCACCACGGTTTGAACATGTTATGTCCCCTTTGGACACGAAGGGTATGACTATGTTTGAAAGCGGCGCTACTGTTGAGGAGGGTATTTATGTATTCACCTTGTAGATACAGGAGTGTTCGAGCTCACTGTCTTCTTAAAAGAAAAGCCATTATCTAACAAATGTATGACTTTGTTTTTGCAGTGCTTTTTAGAACTCATCAATGTCTCTGTGTCGGTCTTCACCTCTATCACCTTTTCTTCTCTTATCTACTCTCTATCCTTCCTTTTCTCTCTACTCATCTTTCTCACATCGCTACCCATCAATTCCCTCTCCACTGTCTTCACACCCCTTTTCTTTTCTCCCCTCGTTTTTCTCTCTCCCCACCTCTTCCACCTCTACTCTCTAGACTCGGGCCAGCAGCAGCCCAGTTCTGTGGGGGCCCAGACCACTCGGCATCTGACCCGGGCCCCATCAGGGCCACGGCCCCTATGTGGCGCTGCAGCAGGATCATGCACATGCAGAGAGAGCTGCACCCCACCCTGCTCTCCTCTCTGGAGGGCATTGTGGACCAGATGGTCTGGTTCAGGGAGAACTGGCATGAAGAGGTGAGGCAGGGGCACCTGGTCTCCTGGGATGGTGGGGAGGGGGTGGAGAGGTGTGTGTGTGTGTGTGTGTGTGTGTGTGTGTGTGTGTGTGTGTGTGAGAGAGAGAGAGAGAGAGAGAGCCACAAAGTAACCCTGGCATGGCATAGCCATAGTCCGTTGCCATAGTCCGTTGCTCCTCTCTACCTGAGTAGTCTGAAGCTCTGTTGAAGGAAGAGCTCTGTCATGTTTCTGACTTGATGAAGATGAGCGGTGAGCTTACAGAACCTCCAACACAGTGAGCTTACAGATTTGGAAAATGGAAATTACTGTCAGTGAATGCAACATTTACACAGAGGTTAAACTTTTTTTGTTGCATATTTTCTGAAACACTTTCTGCAACCTCCTCTGGAATCACTCACTCATCTATAACACTATATCCTACCCCTGTGTAGAAATGTCAGTCAAGGTGTCAATAAACTTGGAGAGAGCTGACATAACACAAGCTTCCAAATGGAACTCGGCGGTGCTGCAAAGTGCTTTAGCCATGCTGGGTGGAAGAGGGGGGGGGGTATTGTGTGCACTCGAGGGGCTCACAGAAGCAGCTGTGGGCTCAGCGCTGCAGTCCGTTCCATTGGTTAGACCGGGACAGAGGAACACTGTTTGGTTAGACCGGGACAGAGGAACACTGTTAATACCCCCCCCCCCCCCCCCCCCCCCCCCCCCCCCCCCGTGGGAACAACCTCACCTGGATGCACCTGCCTGTGGAGAGGAGTTTGCAGTGGGGGGAACTATTGGAAAGGGAGGGTGGGTTGGCGGATTAGGGGAGTATGGTGAGACTGTGGGGCAGCATAGCTTGCTCACTTTCTTAGCATTCTGAGGGTCACAAACAGTGTAATATACATTTTCATGATCAATATCTTCCTCCCTCCCTTTTTCCCCTTACCCCCCCCCTTCCCCTTCAGGTCCTGAGACAGCTCCAGCAGGGTCTGTTTAAGTGCTACTCTGTGGCATTCGAGAAGAGCGGTGCTGTGTCGGACGCCAAGATCACACCGCACACGCTGAACTTTGTCAAGAAGCTGGTGAGCACGTTTGGCGTGGGGCTGGAGAACGTCTCCAATGTTTCCACCATGTTCTCCAGCGCGGCGTCCGAATCGCTTGCTCGCCGAGCCCAGGCCACCGCTCAGGACCCAGTCTTCCAGAAGATGAAGGGACAGTTCACCACAGGTACGCTCTGCTCTAACCTCCATCTAGTTTATTGTCGGTTCTGCTATGTTCATTATTAATTTCCCTGTTGTTGATGTACTCTTTTTTTTGGGGGGGGGGGTAGAAATATAACTCACTTTTGGAATCTGACCAAAAGTGTAGACCCATAGGAGTCATGGGGTAAATCTCAAATCACACCCTATTCCTTATGCAGTGCTCTGCGTCATTCCAGCCGTAGCCAGACGTAGCCAATCTGTGTGCATCAGCAGGCAAGGGTTATTTTTCACCAGGCAGAAACAGAACAGTGGTGTTCCGGAACGTAATTGGAGCTTCTGAACCAGATGATTTGATTTAATGGAGGGCTGACGTGTGTATGTCCACGTGTGTGCCAGTGTGTGTGTGTGTGTGTGTGTGTGTTTGCTGGGCTGTTTTGGGGTGTTGATTACATAGGCATTACACAGCTCTGCTAATCCAACCCACTGACTTACCCTCCAGGCCTGTTTAGTGATCATTTGGGTACATACAGGCACAGCATGTGGAGAAGAACAAAACAGTGCTTACTGGTCCTGGAGCTCCAAGGAGAGTTGGCATTTGAACTGAAGGGTGTTTAATAGCTGTAAGAGAAACTGTTGACTGTTGATCAACTGCAGACATCTTGTATTATTGTGGCCTTTGTATTTGACCTCAGCAACTGTTGTAACTAAAATCATCAGCCTACCACATGCTGCTTTCATAACAATACCTTGGGAACAGTTATGCGGAAGTTAAATTGAATCATGAAGTGATCCGTTTATCTTTCGTATGGATGTGTTTGTGCATGTTAGTCAGCGACCCATGAGACCCTCATCCTCCTGAGTATTTATTTATATTCTACTCAGGAATGCAACAGACAGACAGGTGCAGACTGGCCCTCGTAGAGACATTTCTAAAAACCGAATTCTTCTATTTTGGAAATGAACAGCCAGGCTTAACCACAGTTCAGTTTTCTGGCCACTGGTTTAAACTAGGAATGTCTGCTTCAACCTCCAACTCCTTCCCTGTGTCCACATAACTCTCTCTCCTCTCCTCTCGCTCTCTTCTCAACGCTGTATGACTGAGTACACACACAGAGCTGCCCATTCCCTGTCCTCCTACACACACAGGCACTCCTCATCTCTCCTCCCTCTGTTCCCCCTCTTTTACACTTCTGTTTTCCCCTCCACCAGACTGGAGAGAGGCTAGCTGAGCTAATGTGTCTGGCTACGGTACTGCATGTTGACTGGGCAGTGAGAGTGAGAGAGGGCCAGAGAATGGCGAGCGAGAGAATGAAAGCTAATTGAGGAATGGCGTGGGAGAAATGAGGAACACTAGAGCCTGTGAGAGAATGAGTGAGATGGAAACCGACAGAGGGAGAGAAGGGGAGCGTGTGGCATTCATGTTACCAGATGTGTGGGTACTGGGTGCCAGCTGTGTTGGCTCGGCCAGGCATCACCGGAGCTCCGGCTCACAGGGTGCCTGCCTGGCGACCAGCCGTCGCTCTCCAGCTGTGCCCACGCCAACCGAGCTCTGCGGAGAAGCCCGACAAGCCTCCGGAGCAGAACAAACAGGGTTTACAGCCCCGCATTTCTGCTGCTGCCGAGCAGCCAACCACGTTACCCTGGGTTTGTGGGCCGGAAAATCTGCGTTTTTATGCACACACACAACATTTGTCAGAAGGGACTGGGAGGAGAGGGGGGAGGCATTCAAATCCAATTATGGGGAATGCTCTTTGCACAAGTTATTGTTTTATAACTGGATCCACTCCAAAGCTCTCTGCTTGTCAGAAGAACCCTGGAAAAAATATTTTTTATAACTTCACTGTTCAGAGCAGCCATCATCACATGTTTTCAGATGGAATATTTTCACCTGTCTTTGTCGGACTTTCAAAAACTACAGTACATTGGCCACATGGCATGTGAACGCTCTTTTGGGTTTTTCAAACAATTTTCACACATTGAAATAAACTGTTCTTTAAAAATTACATTTTACTTGGCTATGAGAAACATGCTGAAATGATTTTGTCTGATGGGTTGTGCACATCAACATACATGAATCAGTCTCTGTGCACTGAATCTACCTGACTCTCAGCACATGTTCTATTTTTATCAATAACAAATATAGCAGTTCAACACACAATCACCCCAGTAGCCTTCTGCACCACTGCTGTTGTTGTGTAAGACTGAATGGCTCTGAGGTCCAGTCAGCCAACCAGTGGCCATCCAGCTGTTACATCTATAGCTGAACAAACCACTGAGTTTAACTCACCTAAGACTTCCTGCTGCTGCGAGAAAATAGTCTAGGGGCTATTTATAGAGACGGACCACTGAACACTGTGGTTCTCTGGTCATGAGGGAGAGGGGGGGTGGAGGGCAGATAGAGAGGGGTCTGAGAGCGCGCAGAGAGGGGTCTGAGAGCGCGCAGAGAGGGGTCTGAGAGCGCGCAGAGAGGGGTCTGAGAGCGCGCAGAGAGGGGTCTGAGAGCGCGCAGAGAGGGGTCTGAGAGCGAGGCCGAAAGAGGGAGAGGGCAGTGAAAGAGGGAGAGAGCAGTGAAAGAGGGAGAGTTACATGCCTCCTAGTGTTCCAGTCTCAGGTCAGGGAGCAGGTATTTGTAGCTGTTTTTAGGAGACTATGGATCAGAGAACAGGGGGCTTGTTGTTCACAGCAGCATGAGATGACTGATCAGCGGTCAGAGAAAAAAGGAGCTAAAATAGCCCCCCTCCTTACTTCTGCTCTGACTCAGTTTCCACTATATGGCCAAGCTCCAATGTCAAAATTGGTTATATTTTCAGCTGTCCTCTTATTTCCTGTTTCCTCTTCTTACGTACCTTTTACATCACAGAATAATCCAGACAGTAATGAAAATGATCTTGTTAAAAAAAGACAGCCACAGTTCATGTATTCTATTTGTAGGTTATATATACTTTTATGCCGCTGAATCATTGGCAATTCAACAAGACTAGCCTAATTCTAATTCAGTCTCCCCTAGGCTAGCAAACAGCAGGCAGGTAAAATGGATGCCATGAAGGAACATTGGATTTAAAAAAAATGTTTATTTAGAGTGTAAGAGTTCACTCAGAAGGGGTTTGAAATGGCAAGGCCTTTCATTCTCTGATACACTTTCATGGTTTCATTACAACAAGCAGAGCACAACAGCCTTGTGATAATGGAGCAGGTTTCTACCTGCTTGATAAAGATGTCCTGGGGGCATCACCGTGGCTCCCTTTCTGCTTGCACCTTTTGTTATATCATTCCCTCCCAAGAATATGCACAATGTCAGTTGTGACTTGAATATGAAATGTAACTCCTTTTCTTGTGAGAGGGACTTGTGATTATATCAGTAGACTAGCTCCATGGGGGACTGGGTGGAAAACGTACAGCACTTTGGTTGATATGGCAACAAAGAGCTTGTTTCTGCCTCTTACTCATTGGTTATTTTCAGTCTCAGCTTTGCTCTCATTGGTCATTTCTCTTATTACCTCAGAGGACCGCTGTGGTCCTCTGTAGCTCAATTGGTAGAGCATGGCGCTTGTAACGCCAGGGTAGTGGGTTCGATCCCCGGGACCACCCATACGTAAAAATGTTTGCGCACATGACTAAGTCGCTTTGGATAAAAGCGTCTGCTAAATGGCATATTATTATTATTATATCCATCCATAGAAACCTAACCATTTTGTTTTCTCTTTGACCCTTAATAGACAATAAACCATTTGAACCCAAACTTTGAGTTTCATGGTTGTCAGTATAGGCTTTGTTGGCTTCCTTCGAACAGGCCGTCTAACTCCACTTAATAGCCTCATATTGGTTATCAACCCCTTTCTGTCTCTCTGTCCCCATGCAGACTTTGACTTCAGCGTGCCTGGCTCCATGAAGCTCCACAACCTGATCTCCAAGCTGAAGAAGTGGATCAAGATCCTGGAGGCCAAGACCAAGCAGCTGCCCAAGTTCTTCCTGATCGAGGAGAAGTGCCGCTTCCTCAGCAACTTCTCAGCCCAGACCGCCGAGGTGGAGATCCCTGGGGAGTTCCTCATGCCCAAACCCACGCACTATTACATCAAGATCGCACGGTGAGGAGGATACACGTATGGAGAGCACACACACAAGTCTTGTTACGCTGCCATTACCTCCAGGTAGTAACAGCGTGTGTGTGTCTGTTTCCTCCAGGTAATAACAGCGTGTGTGTGTTTCCTCCAGGTTCATGCCCAGAGTGGAGATAGTCCAGAAACACAACACAGCAGCACGGCGTCTCTACATCAGAGGTCACAACGGGAAGATCTACCCCTACCTGGTGATGAACGATGCCTGTCTGACTGAGTCCCGCAGGGAGGAGAGGGTCCTACAGCTACTGAGGCTGCTCAACCCCTGTCTGGAGAAGAGGAAGGAGACCACCAAGAGACACCTCTTCTTTACTGGTATGACACACACTGGGCTAGCTCTCTTTGTCTGTCTATCTAGCGCTCCCTCTCTTCCCACTGTCTCTAGTCTCTCATAGACCACTAAGACACCTATTATTCCTGAGGCAACACACTGGGCTATTGCTTTACGTCTGTCTGTCTCTCTTTCCCTTTTCTCTCTGTCTGACTCTACTCTTTCATATATCACTCTATAGCTCTGTCTGGGCTATCTGTTTCTCTCTCATTTTCCCTCCTGTCAAGTCAGTCTTTTGACAGGCAGTCTAAAATCTCCTCTCTCTGTGTATCTTGGGCTCTGAACCCAGGAATAGAGAATTCAATGAGAGAGTAGAAATGTCAAGTGTAGCTCAGTCTAAACTGTTTTTCCAAGGGCATGTCTATATAGTCCGATAAGGCAGGCGGTTGATGTTTAAATCCTAGCAACCTCTTTAACTGTACTGTATATGCGGCTTTCTTTAAAGAAAAATATGGCAAAGGAGAGGAGAAAGGAATGAGAGAAATTAAATTGAGGGGAATTGTCGACGTGTCAGGGCAGAGAGTCAGTCAGTCAGTGAGTGAATGAAATAAGATGCAATGTTATGCACATGGGAGGCTGGCTGGGAGATTGAATCTGAATTGCCTTTCTGTGATTGATTTATCAGTATTGTGGTGAACCACTTCCAGGGCAGAGGTCAAGGGCATCCTCATGGGGGGCTACATTGTTCTGGTCTAACGACCAAAAGAAGTGCATTTCAAAATAGAATAAAAGAGGGCTCATGTCTTTCCTATGATCTGCTCTGATGTAAAGAGATGGGCTATACATTAGATAGATTGGATAGAGATTAGAGAGAGATGGGATATACACTGACTGTAAAAAAACATTAGGGAGTTGCACCCCCCCTTTTGCCTTCAGAACAGCCTCAATTCATCGGGGCATGGACTCTACAAGGTGTTCGAAAGCGTTCCGCAGGGATGCTGGCCCATGTTGACTCCAATGCTTCCCACAGTTGTGTCAAGTTGGCTGGATGTCCTTTGGGTGGTGGACCATTCTTGATACACACGGGAAACTGTTGAGCGTGAAAAACCCAGCAGCGTTGCAGTTCTTGACACACTCAAACTGGTGCGCCTGGCACGTACTACCATACCCCGTTCAAAGGCACTTAACTCTTTTGTTTTGCCCATTCACCCTCTGAATGCCACACATACACAATCCATGTCTCAATTGTCTCTAGGCTTAAAAATCCTTCTTGAACCGGTCTCCTCCCCTTCATCTACACTGATTGAAGTGTATTTAACAAGTGACATCAATAAGGGATCATAGCTTTCACCTGGATTCACCCGGTCAGTCCATGTCATGGAAAGATCAGGTGTTCTAAATGTTTTGTATACTCAGTGTAGATTACATTTACATTTTAGTCATTTAGCAGACGCTCTTATCCAGAGCGACTTACAGTTAGTGAGTGCATACATATTTTTTTAATACTGGAATCGAACCCACAACCCTGGCGTTGCAAACGCCATGCTCTACCAACTGAGCTACATCCCTGCCGGCCATTCCCTCCCCTACCCTGGACGACACTGGGCCAATTGTGCGCCGCCCCATGGGTCTCCCGGTCGCGGCCGGCTACGACAGAGCCTGGATTCGAACCAGGATCTCTAGTGGCACAGCTAGCACTGCGATGCAGTGCCTTAGACCACTGCGCCACTCGGGAGGACAGATTAGAGAGCGATGGGATATAGATTGGAGAGAGATGGGGATGAAAGCATTGACAGAAGCATACTGATGAGCATGTCATTGTGATGTGCGTCCCTCAGTTACATGACCTGGTATCCGTGGAGACCAGAGGAAGGTGAGGGGTCAGAATGTCACCCAGGGAAAATTGGCCTGTGACATCGCTATGTACTCAGACTGATTACTACCCTGTTGGCATCCTCCTCTCTCTCTCTTGCTTTCTCTTTCTCTCTCTTCTTTATACAATATCTTTGTATATACAATTTCCTTTCCTGTCCTCACCAAGAGTTGTCCTTCCACCCAGATGTTTGCCCACTCTCCCTCTCAGCGACTGATTGGGTTGTTTTTAAGAGGGAATATGGACTTCTGTGGTCCCTCTACTCATTCCCTCTAAGTAAAATGGTAGTGTTCAGTTGGTGGTTTGCCATGTTATGTAAATGTTTACATGGCTCTGATTATATGCCAGGTGCTGTCCTCTTTGAACCTCTTCAACTCTAGTGTTACATTTGGCCCACAGGAGCACTAAACCTCTTGTATTGTATTGAGAAATCTTAGGTTAGGCTAGATGTGTAGACCGGTTGTGCAATGTTGGGTGTAATAGTTTACTTTACACAGTGTATTAAAATGAAGATGGCTTGTTTTGCCTTGGAAAATGTAGGTGTAGATGTTTAGTATTGCAATGTTGTTGTATTGAGGTGGCTTACTCTACCGCCCTTCTCTCCCTCCCTCCCTCCCTCCCTCGTCCTCCAAGGTTAGGTTGTATACAGTGTATTGAGGTGTGTAATCAGTTTACCATGTTATTAAATTGTGCTCACTCTCTCCCCCTTCCTCCCTCCATCCTATCTCTCCAGTCCCCAGGGTGGTAGCTGTGTCTCCTCAGATGCGTCTGGTAGAGGACAACCCATCGTCTCTGTCTCTGGTGGAGATCTATAAACAACGCTGTGCCAAGAAAGGCATTGAGCACGACAACCCCATCTCACGCTACTATGACCGTCTAGCTACTGTACAGGCTAGAGGCACACAGGCCAGCCACCAGGTACTGGAACATAAACATGGACACACACAAACACACTGGTGCACACACAACGACCGCCTGGCTATAGTACAGTCCAGGGGCACACTGGCCAGCCACCAGGTACTTACTGGAACACACACTCCTACTCTAAACCCCTGTCCCCACCAGGTGCTGCGTGACATTCTGAAGGAGGTTCAGGGGAACATGGTACCTCGCAGCATGCTGAGGGAGTGGGCGTTACACACCTTCCCCAACGCTACAGACTACTGGACCTTCAGAAAGATGTTCACCATCCAGCTGTCTCTCATCGGCCTGGCTGAATTCATGTTACACCTCAACCGCCTCAACCCTGAGATGCTGCAGATAGCACAGGTAGGGGGAGAGAGAGGGACGCCCATGCACGCACACACCTGGACATACACACACACACAGAGACGCGTGCATGCACACACACACACTCTAGGGCTGAGCGATATGGTCAAAATATACACTGCTCAAAAAAATAAAGGGAACACTTAAACAACACAATGTAACTCCAAGTCAATCACACTTCTGTGAAATCAAACTGTCCACTTAGGAAGCAACACTGATTGACAATACATTTCACATGCTGTTGTGCAAATGGAATAGACAACAGACCACTTCTCAGTTCCTATGCTTCCTGGCTGATGTTTTGGTCACTTTTAAATGCTGTCGGTGCTTTCACTCTAGTGGTAGCATGAGACGGAGTCTACAACCCACACAAGTGGCTCAGGTAGTGCAGCTCATCCAGGATGGCACATCAATGCGAGCAAGAAGGTTTGTTGTGTCTGTCAGCGTAGTGTCCAGAGCATGGAGGCGCTACCAGGAGACAGGCCAGTACATCAGGAGACGTGGAGGAGGCCGTAGGAGGGCAACAACCCAGCAGCAGGACCGCTACCTCCGCCTTTGTGCAAGGAGGAGCACTGCCAGAGCCCTGCAAAATGACCTCCAGCAGGCCACAAATGTGCATGTCTGCTCAAACGGTCAGAAACAGACTCCATGAGGGTGGTATGAGGGTCCGACGTCCACAGGTGGGGGTTGTGCTTACAGCCCAACACCGTGCAGGACGTTTGGCATTTGCCAGAGAACACCAAGATTGGCAAATTCGCCACTGGCGCCCTGTGCTCTTCACAGATGAAAGCAGGTTCACACTGAGCACATGTGACAGACGTGACAGAGTCTGGAGACGCCGTGGAGAACGTTCTGCTGCCTGCAACATCCTCCAGCATGACCGGTTTGGCGGTGGGTCAGTCATGGTGTGGGGTGGCATTTCTTTGGGGGGCAGCACAGACGGGTTGTTCGCACCTCCATGTGCTCGCCAGAGGTAGCCTGACTGCCATTAGGTACCGAGATGAGATCCTCAGACCCCTTGTGAGACCATATGCTGGTGCGGTTGGCCCTGGGTTCCTCCTAATGCAAGACAATGCTAGACCTCATGTGGCTGGAGTGTGTCAACAGTTCCTGCAAGAGGAAGGCATTGATGCTATGGACTGGCCCGCCCGTTCCCCAGACCTGAATCCAATTGAGCACATCTGGGACATCATGTCTCGCTCCATCCACCAACGCCACGTTGCACCACAGACTGTCCAGGAGTTGGCGGATGCTTTAGTCCAGGTCTGGGAGGAGATCCCTCAGGAGACCATCCGCCACCTCATCAGGAGCATGCCCAGGCGTTGTAGGGAGGCCATACAGGCACGTGGAGGCCACACACACTACTGAGCCTCATTTTGACTTGTTTTAAGGACATTACATCAAAGTTGGATCAGCCTGTAGTGTGGTTTTCCACTTTAGTTTTGAGGGTGACTCCAAATCCAGATCTCCATGGGTTGATAAATTTGATTTCCATTGATAATTTTTGTGATTTTGTTGTCAGCACATTCAACTATGTAAAGAAAAAAGTATTTAATAAGATTATTTCATTCATTCAGAACTAGGATGTGTTGTTTAAGTGTTCCCTTTATTTTTTGAGCAGTGTAATATCACAATGTATTTTATATGGTAAGGTTTTTGAATAATAAAAGTTCTAAATATGCTTTATGATAAGTGATTCCAATGGGGCTTTCTCCATTGTGATCTGATTTGTTCAAGCCAACTTCAAACAACAATAATTTATCAATTTCTGCATTTCCTGCATTTTTGTTATCATTTCCACACTGTGCCACTCCGGGCTGCATGATATGGGCAAAAAACCTAGGCCTAATTAATTGGTGAACTGTTGAAATCATGGAAATAGAATGATTATTCTAATTCTATAGTTGGAATATAGTAGGCAGCACCTTGAATACATTGTTTGACATGACAATGAATGAATAAGCCAGGGAGGAATTATTGACAGGGTAGGAAACAAAGTGTTGGTCAGTGTTTCCAGGGGACCCTAATTAGATGTTACATTATATGTTTTCTTAACTCATGTAGCTAGCTAACATGTATTCATGCTTTGCCTAGTCCTCTCTGTTTTAGAAGATACCGTGATAGAGCAACTGCTCTCTCCTTGAGTGACGGGGGCCAGGGCTTGGCATGCAGCAGGAGATTGAGAAAAACTACTCGAGTAGCAAACGGCGTTAACTAATTTATAAAAATGGACATTACATTCGCCGGAGTTGTGTATCACTTTTAACAAACCAAACATTGAAATACCGTTATAGAAGGTAAAGTAAAAACCGAAACTGGTCCGTGCATTAATCCCGGTATGTAGTACAATATGGTTTACCACCTAACACTAACACACACAGATAAACGCATACTCATACTCATAAACGCGTGCGCACACACACACACACACACACACACACACCGCCTCTGCACCTAACCCAGCCAAGGACACATGGCTAAGGGAATTTGAAGCAGTCTGTCAAAGAAAGAGGATTCATGTCAAGGAGACTAATTCAATATGGAGATGTTCCTCCTAGACCCCTAGATTCATTAGAGATGAGCATCACTGACTGGTAATATGCATTACTTCCTCCCCTCTATGACATCAATGCAGCCCTGTCAGTCAGTGAGCCTCTATGGGACGATGCTGTTTTGACAGTCAGTCTTATTCCGACTCTTTGCTCTGCTATCAGAGACCATTCAATATAAAGAGCCAGAGAGAGTGTGTGTGTGTGTGTGTGTGTCGCACCAGATCAGTTGGATATATACGTGTGCGCGCTCCTTTCGGAGGGCAGAGAGTATATCTCTGAAAGTCATTATTAAAGATGATTGTGTGGAACAGACGGACAGCCTCCTCCTTTCCTCTCTCCTCCTCTATGATCCTAATCTGTCTCTTCTGACAGGCGTTCCACTGGGCAGCTAAGCAGACGCATTAAGCCCCCTCTCTGCCTGTTACACACCATAGATCCCATTAGACACAGGCAGGATTACACACACACGGGCGCATGCATGCACACATGCACGCACACACTCACATGAAGGACATTACTGACACGCGTAACCCCTAGCCTCGCCCCAATAAACACCCAAATAACCCCATATGTTACCCCTAGAATAGTAAACTTTTCTAAAATAGTGCATTGAGAGGCTTTGGCCTCTGCATTGTATGCCCCCATCCTCAGAGAATGTATCTTATGTCACCTCCCTCGTATTGTGTTGACTCAGTCTATTCATACAGTGTCACAATAGAGTAGCAGTCACCTGTTAATGTGTTATTATTCAGGACACTGCCTCAGTCCGGAGCCAGAGGAGTTTCTCTCTGAGCCTGAGCTTATCTGAGCCTCCTGGGGTCTAGCATCTAACCCTGTTGGCTCAAGGCCGTATCTTTGAGAGACTGAAAAAAACTCAAATGAAATGCTATTGCCATAAAGCTGTCATAAGCACACTTACTTTCTCCCATAAACAGCTTATCTTCCCAGAATGCTCTCTGCTCTTCATACATCATATTGGTCCCTCTTTACACAAACGCAGGCTTAAAGACAAAGTCCTGCTGTATATGCTTAACTCACCAGGGACAGAAAAAGAGGGATAGAGGGATTATGGATGTGCTTGGGGTGATATGTTGACGTTTTATGGTGCTCTGTCTATGGCAGATCAATAAAATCAGCCATTTTGTAGTTAAAATACACACACACACACACACACTCTTTACTTGAAGGCAGCTGTATCCTGTCCATTGGTTATATACAGGAGTAACTGGTCCATAGAGAATACCTCAGGAGAATGTTTATAGATGACTTGTCTTAGTGATCAGACACGGTGGAATCCTGACTGGAATACACAGTGCATTCGGAGAGTATTCAGACCCCTTTACTTTTTCCTCATTTTGTTACGTTACAGCCTTATTCTAAAATGGATTAAATAATTTTTTCCCCTCACATTACCCCATAATGACAAAGCAAAAACAGGTTTTTAGAAAATGTAGCACATTTATTACAAATAAATTGAAATATCACATTTACATAAGTATTCAGACCCTTTACTCAGTACTTTGTTGACGCACCTTTGGCAGCGATTACAGCCTCGAGTCTCCTTGGATTGACGCTACAAGCTTGGCACACCTGTATTTGGGGAGTTTCTCCCATTCTTCTCTGCAGATCCTCTCAAGCTCTGTCAGGTTGGATGGGGAGCGTCACTGCACAGCTATTTTCAGGTCTCTCCAGAGATGTTCGATCGGGTTCAAGTCAGGGCTCTGGCTGGGCCACTCAAGGACATTCAGAGACTTGTCCCGAAGCCACTCCTGCGTTGTCTTGGCTGTGTGATTAGGGTCGATGTCCTGTTGGAAGGTGAACCTTCGCCCCTGTCTGAGGTCCTGAGCGATCTGGAGCAGGTTTTCATCAAGGATCTCTCTGTACTTTGCTCCGTTCATCTTTCCCTCGATCCTGATTAGGCTCCCAGTCCCTGCCACTGAAAAAAAAATCTAAAAACCTGTTTTTGCTTTGTCATTATGGGGTATAGTTGTAGATTGTTGAGAAATGTTTTAATACATTTTAGAATAAGGCTGTAACGTAACAAAATGTGGAAACAGTCAAGGGGTTTGAATACTTTCCACATGCACTGTATGAGGGAATATCAGGAAGGGCAGACACACACACTGATCACACACAGACCTGATCCTAACCGTTATACTCCTCTCCTCCAACAGGACACGGGGAAGCTGAACGTGTCGTACTTCCGCTTCGACATCAACGATGCCACGGGTGACCTGGACGCCAACCGGCCCGTGCCCTTCCGTCTGACGCCCAACATCTCAGAGTTCCTGACCACCATCGGCGTCTCCGGCCCCCTCACCGCCTCCATGATCGCTGTGGCACGCTGCTTTGCTCAACCCAACTTCAAGGTAGGCCCAACAACAAGCACACCTGTAGCACAACAGCAAATTACCTTCATGGTTTGTTAGCTATGTTGATTGGACAAAAATAATGAATCAGCATATCACAGTTTAAATTGAAGCCATGGTAGGAGAGAATTCTCCTTTACAGCAGTAGACCACTGCTGTGCACCATGTAGAACTCACTGGTAGAACCATACCCTTTAATTAAGTTTAAAGTGTGAGCAGACTCATTTCTCAATTCTTGTCTTAATTTAGACACTATAATTCTTGATGGATGTTATTCTGTGTGGGTGTTTTACACCCCACAAATGTAAACTTGGAGGGAAATTCATTGAGGCGTATCAAAACAAAAACAATGGCCTCTCAGTCCCAGCTGTGGCAGGAGGAGGCTTGTATATCTATGTTGGTCCCGTAATGATAGGGCAGCAGGCAGCTATATATCTATATATAGCCCAGCTCCATCCTGTAGCTAAAGCCGGAGAGGAGAGGGGCTGCTTCCTTAAGGAGGTGAAGAAACTGGGGTGTTGAAGACCGAGGGACTTTCGGATGGAGGGAGTGCAGAGATGCACGCACATACACACACGGGACAGACCAAGCTAGAGACGTATCCCAGAGGCCACTGCTTTCTTTGGGGGGTGGAGAGGTGGTTACACACACTTCCTGGGAGAGGAGACGGGTTGTTCTGACAATCAGGCCCTCAACACACCATAAAGTGGGCACACCGAGTGGAGAGGACAGAGTGTACCCAGCTAGGTGGTTAGCTAGTGTTAGTGTTGTGGCTTCTGTATAGTTTATATGGCTGCTGTGTATAGCCCTGTTAGTATGTGATGTTCTCACAGTATCTCATGATTCCTGAATTAGCACAAATTAATAGTTAGGTTCCTCAGTCAATGTTCCCATAAATAGTCTTACTAGAGTGCAAGATGCATTTTGCAGCTCCCCATCATTCTCTGTTCTCTCCTCTCCTTCTCCCCTCTACCCCACTAGGTGGACGGCATCCTGAAGGCGGTGCTCCGTGACGAGATCATCGCGTGGCACAAGAAGACCCAGGAGGACACGTCCATGCCCCTGTCCCCGGCAGGTCAGCCTGAGAACATGGACTCCCAGCAGCTAGTGTCCTTGGTGCAGAAGGCTGTGACGGCCATCATGACCAGGCTCCACAACCTGGCCCAGTTCGAGGGAGGGGAGTCAAAGGTCAACACCCTGGTGGCTGCTGCCAACAGCCTGGACAACCTCTGTCGCATGGACCCTGCCTGGCACCCCTGGCTATAAGGGGGAGAGGAGATGCCTGGCAGCCCTGGTTGTGAGGGGGAGAAGAGCGGGGGGAACGATGAAGAAGAGGATGGACATGATAAAACCTATGAAAATAGGTTTTCTTGGCCATGAGGGTATTCTAATGCACATTATAAACTGGGTGGTTCAAGCACTGAATGCTGATTGGCTGACAGCTGTGGTATATCAGACTGTATACCACGGGTATGACAAAACATTTATTTTTACTGCTCTAATTACGTTGGTAACCAGTTTATAATAGCAATAAGGCACCTCAGGGGTTTGTGGTATATGCCCAGTATACCACAGCTAAGGGCATAAGAACTGCCATAGCAGTGTTATATTGGCCATATACCACACCCCCTCTGGCCTTATTGCTTAATTGTGCTGCTCACACAACCATAAGATGTCATCATTGGCCACTGAAGAGCGTGACAGGCGGCCTTCACTATTGAGCCACAGAAAAGAGGAAATCACACAATGTAAACTGGAACTGAAGAAAATGCTTTTGTCATGTATAAATTGTTCTGTCAGGTATTATTTTTGAGGAGGGCTTCCTGGTCTCAAGTTGAAAGGATGCAGCGATTTACTGTAGCAAGCAAACAAAGCAAGAGAACAATGTAGCGCCGTTGAGTGCTGCAGAACCAGTCAGGTACCCATGTTATCAGGAAATAGCCTGGTAAAACCAGTCTGGACGTGTTCAGTCTTGTTTAACCAGGCTAATCAGGAAACTCACTGATGGAGAAACTAATTAAGGCACTCGAACCAAACGTAGTCTGCCACGTTTAATCTGCATCGCCTCTCTGTACTTGACTTACTGTTTGTTGTGTTTATCATCCCTCCATGAAAATGGAACAGTGGAGGGAGTATTGGAGAAAGTACAGTACTGTGTTTTATAATGCTCATGATTTTTCAGTTCACTTGGTAATAGTCTCATCGAGTCTTTTCTAAGTTTACAAGTTGACTCCAGTGAATCAACAACGCAATGTTAAAAATATTGTAAGTCCTTATTTTTGAGTTTGTATCATTATTATTTAAATACCAAATTATGTGTAGGACATTTTTATATATATCCCAAAAAAATGTAGAATATAATACTCTTGTGAATAATTATGCTGTATCATTCCTTTTCACTGCCTGGAGTGTGTGTACTGTACAATGTCTGAGCTACTCAAAAGCCATTTTGACTTTAGGTTTTGGTCTATTGCAGCTGTCATAGGTCTAGATAAGGATTTTTTTTTTTTTGAAGACTAATGAATTCCCTTTAGCACAACTGTCTTGCACTCAAGCGTTCAGGTTCAAGACTCGCACTGTACTCCGTAAGCAGTATCTATACATACAGCATGTATGTAGTAGCCTATATGGGCTACACTGACCTGTTTTTGTATGCATTATCCCCCATTTTGTAAAGGTACAGTGCTTTTGGGACAACTGAAGGATTGTTACCTCCTGCCTTGTAAATATGCATTTTGTTTTATTAAAATGCTCTTTTAAATAATTATGTCAATTTTCTGCATACACTTGTTTGTGTGTCGCCACTCAATTTCATAGTAAAGAGAGAGATGAGTCCTGGATTTGAATTACATATAAACTCAGACAGTGCATCTCATACCCATTCAGTTCCAATACAGAGTTGATGAAGAAATTACACCATGTCTTACATTGCAGTCGCTACCTCTCACATTGCACACATTATCATGCATGGCACAAAGGGAGATAAATCAATCGTGCCACACTTGGACAATAATGTTTTTTATATTCTAAATAACTGAAAATGAAAAGAAAAGCACTACATTTAGCTGGTCTGCAGTTTCAAGTAAAGCCCTGTTAACATTTTGGCTGAGGGCTATGTGGAGGTAGAATAACCTTGAGTTTGTCTTTTCATTTTGTCCTCAGGGCCTGGCCCCCATCTCCCTGCCGTGGAAGTCCAGGGGAAGACTACCGAGGTGGAGTCAGCCTCGGCCTCCTCTCACATGGTGACGGATTTATCCATGTCAGTATATCTCGGTGTGCTCTGGCCTCCGTTGAGTTACACTGTCAACCTGCTCTCCACACTCCTAAACCATATCTTTAATACTGTAAATGTCTCTCTCTCTCTTAATCTCACTATATGTCTCTCTCGGTCATCCAACTTCTCTCTGTTGCAGCTCTTTCCCTCGCTCTCTCTCTCTTGCAGCTCACTGTCCCCATTTATCATGTCAGTCAGACTACCTACCTGACTGTTCCTGTTCCTGCATTTAACAATGCTACTTTATGGCAATTGGTTTGGCAGGTTAACAACAAGTGGGCCTGAAGCAAGAACAGACTGCAACCCAGGCAACCATCACATCACATGGGGCCTCGCCAGAAGACCATCAAAATCGAAACCAAATATGACATCTGAAGCTAAGTATACCACCATGTACTGTATCTCCATATATCGCATTTGATATCCCTTTCCAATGGCACGTAACACTTAACAAACATCTAGGACACCCACAATCTGTTTTTTTCTCTAAACAATAGCATTTGAACTTGTGGGTGTCCTTACTGTCCTTTGTAGTTAAGGCATCCATTTCACGCCTCAGGTGTCTCTTCTGATATGAGGCTGGCAGTGAGATATGAAATTCAACAGCGCACACACATCACAACAGAGAGATGTGTTGTATCCTGCTGCCTGTGTGCTGTGTCCTGGCTTGTGTCCCGGCTGGCCTAGGTGTCTGCTGATGTCTAGACTGATATCTGGGAAGAGGATGTGATTGATGCAGACCTGTGGGATTGAAGTGGGGAAGGAAGAAGGGGGAGGAAACGTGGTTTCTGGCACTTCCTGGGACTCTAAGGACACAGTGGAATGGAACCTGTCAGGAAGAGGGATCAGAATTCCCTCTGGAAATAGAACATCACAAATATGACGATGGATGGATAAAAAAGAAAGAAAATAAAAAGTTTTGTGCGTTTTGTTAGATTATCTATTAGAGCATTTTAACGTGTATATCATGTATATAAAATTGTATAATATTGCAAGTCAACATGTATTGTAATAGTACAGCATTCTCACCCTTTATAGTTCACAGCATACTTACATTTACACTACCAGTTAAAAGTTTGGACACACCTACTCATTCAAGGGTTGTTCTTTATGTTTTACTATTTGTTATATTGTAGAATAATAGTGACATCAAAACTATGAAATACCACTCCAGTGTTCTCTTTCACTGAACGCTCAGGACAGGACCGGACTATAAAGGGGTTTTGGACACTTTGTTGTTTTGTGTGTGTTATAACGGCTTTGTAGATGCTTTTTAACTGATGATATACATTTATAACTGATAGCATAGGCCTACATACACTACCATCAAAAGTTTGGACACACCTACTCATTCACATAAAAAAAAAAGAAAAACTATTTTCTACATTTTAGAATAATAGTGAAGACATCAAAACTATGAAATAACACATATGGAATCATGTAGTAACCATAAAAGTGTTAAATCAAATATATTTTATATTTGAGATTCTTCAAAGTAGCCACCCTTTGCCTTGATGACAGCTTTGCACACTCTTGGCATTCTCTCAACCAGCTTCATGAGGTAGTCACCTGGAATGCATTTCAATTAACAGGTGTGCTTTCTTAAAAGTTAATTTGTGGATTTTATTTCCTCAATGCGTTTGAGCCAATCAGTTGTGTTGTGACAAGGTAGGGAGGGTATACAGAAGGTAGCCTTATTTGGTAAAAAAAAACAAGTCCAGCTCAAATAAGCAAAGAGAAATGACAGTCCTTCATTACTTTAAGACATGAAGGTCAGTCAATAGGGAACATTTCAAGAACTTTGAAAGTTCCATCAAGCGCTATGATGAAACTGGCTCTCATGAGGACTGCCACAGGAATGGAAGACCCAGAGTTACCTCTGCTGCAGAGGATAAGTTCATTAGAGTTCAAGTCACAGACACATCAACTGTTCAGAGGGGACTGTGTGAATCAGGCCTTCATAGTCTAATTGCTGCAAAGAAACCACGACTAAAGGACACCAATAAGAAGAAGAGACCTGCTTGGACCAAGAAACACGAGCAATGGACATTCGACCGGTGGAAATGTGTCCTTTGGTCTGGAGTCCAAATTGGAGATTTTTGGTTACAACCGCTGTGTCTTTGTGAGACGCGGTGTGGGTGAACGGATGATCTCCGCATGTGTAGTTCCCACCGTAAAGCATGGAGGAGGAGGTGTTATGGTGTGGGGGTGCTTTGCTGATGACACTGTCTGTGATTTATTTAGAATTCAAGGCACACTTAGCCAGCATGGCTACCACAGCATTCTGCAGCGATACGCCATCCCATCTGGTTTGCGCTTAGTGGGACCATCATTTGCTATTCAACAGGACAATGACCCAACACACCTCCAGGCTGTGTAAGGGCTATTTTCCCAAGAAGGAGAGTGATGGAGTGCTGCATCAGATGACCTTGGCCTCCACAATCCCCCGACCTCAACCCAATTGAGATGGTTTGGGATGAGTCGGACCACAGAGTGAAGGAAAAGCAGCCAACAAGTGCTCAGCGTATGTGGGAACTCCTTCAAAGCTATCATCAAAGCAAAGGGTGGCGATTTGAAAAATCTCAAATATATTTTGATTTGTTTAACACTTTTTTGGTTACTACATGATTCCATATGTGTTATTTCATAGTTTTGATGTCTTCACTATTATTCTACAATGTAGAAAATAGTTTAAAAAAAGAAAAACCCTTGAATGAGTAGGTGTGTCTTAATCTTTGACTGGTACTGTACATTTGTCATTTAGCAGACCAGAGTGACTTGTTAGCATGCTAACAGATACCCATAGACTTCCAGTCATTGTGCTAACGCTAGTTAGCATTGGCTCAGGAAACTACCTCTAACTTCTTTCATACTGGACACAGAGAAATAAAAATGGTATCCACAAGTTCATCTGACTTATACCGAAGTGTCCTTTAAGGTAACTAGGTGAGACTCACATTTTCAGACACTTTACCTCAATAAAGCAGCTATA